AAAAGTCATCACATAGGTAAAAGTGGGGGTAGATACAAGCAAATCATCAAGCAAGGAACTAAGAAGAAACTTCAATTGTTCCACACAAGCAACATATATATGATTGTGTAACACTCAAATCAAACAAAATAGAAACATTTTTACCAACAATCTTCCCTTTCTCCTTTATCAAGTCTAAAGAAATAGAAGCATCAACTCCTATCAGAGCAAACGCCCAACCTATAGTAATAGGTTGTTCCACCCTTTGTGCACCCTTAGGCTAACTAGCCTCCACTGAACATATCTTACGATGTGGCCTAACTTAAAAACACTAATTCTATTTCAAGAACAATCCTTCACAAAGTGGTCTCTTCCATATTTGAAATATTTATCACTAGGAGCTCCACCTTGAGAAGTCATAAGAGGTCTCTTTGCAACAAATCTCCCCTATTAATAAGGAGGTTTTTCATAAGGTTTCCTCTACTGACCACCCCTTCTTGGACCTAGCTAGCCCTTCACGCCCTTTCATCACCTTAGTTATTTGATTCCCATCAAAACCAGGTCTACCAGCCATTTTATACTAAGATCAATAGACTATAAGTAACATTGTTTAACAATAACAACAACAAAACACAACACTCAATATACATCAACTTCACAACAGAAGCACAATGGGATCACCTCCATATAGTGCTCAAAAGACTTGATCGACTCTAATATCATAAAAGTGTATTGACCCAACAGATCTCTACACTTACTATAATTTAACAACTAAGTAACGAAAAACATAAATATCTTCTAACATGGGATTTCCATGCAAGCAATACCTAAATATTCATGCAAAAATATATCTGTATAAGAACAAACAACTAGAAATATAAAGATCCCTCAGTGGGATTATAACATACTCTTATACATGCATACATACACACATACATACATGTATACATCCATACATTCAAACATACATATATACATGAAAACATACATACATACATACATACATACATACACACACATACAATATAAGGATTTGTAAAACATAAAATCCTAAGTTGTCAGTCAAGCAACACCTAGTTGTATCAGAAAAACCTCCACCAAAACAACGTCATCACCAACGTGGCTAAAAAATTCTACTTGTCCTTTAGCCTAATCTTGCCATGCTTACATACTAATATGATCATTATAGTCCAACAACATGAGAAAGTAAGGGTAAGTCTGTATATAAAGAAGACAACACAATACAGAAGCAATAACTAACCATATATAAACAAATGCACTATAACAACACTACAACATTCATAGTTTAACTTACCAACACAGATTAAATTATCAAATTCACAACACAACAACATAATTATATAACTTAGCAACATATCAAATTATAATTTCTAAAACACAACAACTTCACAATATTGCAAATTTACAACCCAACAACTTTATGTGTTATCACACATATCAATTGAGAGATCTCTTACAATATAGGTGAACAATCTAAATGGCTTAATCTTACTGAATTAGAACTTCTAATCCTTAAAAAAGAGATCAAGTCAACACAACGTTTGACATACTAATGCCTACTCAACAACTTTACTGATTTTTCAGATGTCATCACTTAAACTAGGAAAGTCCAACACTACTATCAAGAATAAAACATCTTAGGTGTATGCCTACCAATATGCATTAACTAAATTTATATGGAATTAACTCGTCAACTATCCCCCATATATTGTACACATTTCTAGCAACTAGTTAAGGATTTTACCCTTGACTTCATACCTTACTCAATTTTTCGTCACTTCTAAATTAGTATGGCTCAACTTGTCCACAATAAGATATTAATTAAGAAGCTAGAGGAGACTTAACGTTCTACTTCAAGAGCCAACTATTCAAGATGGATTTTTTTTAACAATTTGGGCTCTTAGAGCACCATAATACATATCATATCCACACAATGGAATATCTCATCTTTCTAAAATAACATCTTTCCTCTAGTTCTGAGTCCGCAACACATTTTATCAACACAACTCAATAACATAACTTATCAACACAACTTATCTTGTAGATAATTAGAATCGTCTCTAGTTCAACTTCCTACTACATGATTCTTCAATCATAACAACGTATTACAACATATCTCTATAATATTTCATCTTAACATTATCATATAAAGCATTAATTTAAAACTCATAAAACAAAACTCTTATTGGGTGAGATATTATTGTTGGCTAAGTTGAGCTTTCTAGAGCTCCTCATTGGGCAACACCACTTTTGTTACTTGAATGAAGGGTTTTGCCACTTTCCTTGATAGGCATGCTTTTGGCCCATCGAGCAGCTAAACTTCCCTAGACCTTGTCATTGGGTGTTAAAAGATCACTAAGTGATCCATCCTCTTTGTGTAAATTCTAGATTGGCAACCATATCTTGTTGGGCAACTAGGATTCTTTAGGGGTCCTCTTATTGAATGCAATATGTCTCATTGGGCAAGATTAGCCATAGAATGTTCTCTCATTGGGTGATGCATCTGTCGTTGAGCGAGAATGCGATTCTAGGTAGATGTTCATTTGTTCTTGAAGTGGTGTCGGGTGCCATTGATAATTGTCAAATATGTCGATATCTTTTATCCAATTTAGGCAAGTATCTAGCATATCTTATGCTTTAGAGTTTTGTTTTTGTCAAAAGTTAGTATTTTAATTTTTTTTTCTAGTTAATTAGTAAGTTCTTTTAGTTTTAGATATTTTCATTTTTATTTTTGAGAAACATGGAGAAAGAGCTAAAGCCAAAGGAGTTCCCCTCTCGCTCTCAACGAGTTCATACTCTTTCAAAACAAGTCATTTGAGTGCTCTGAGTAAGCCAACTTAGAAGACAACCTTGGAGCACCATAATAAAGCTCCTTTAATGCTTTGAGTGAGCTAACATAATAACACCAACAAGAACATGTCATCAACCCCGCTTAAGCAAGTATGTGTGAAAAAAGCTCATTTAAATCATTATAAAATTAGGGCTCAAGGAATTTCATAGACACTTCATTTTTTTTTTGTATTACTCATAGAGATTAGAGAAAGTGAGAGTGGTGGCATTATAATCATGGACCCCTTAATGATCTATATTTATATTTGTGAGAAAATTGTTTACCCATGAACAGTTAAGTCCTTTATTTTTTAGGATTGACGTAGCTACCCTACTTCATGTAACTATTTTTTTCTGTTCTTATCCAATAAAGGTTTTTATTTAGTTAATTGTTATTCTTCTATTCTTAATGCATGTTTTACATGATCCCATAGAATTATTTGAGGCTGGGAAACCCCTTTAAAACTACGATCTGAATAATAATACTAATAACGCTTATTAGTCAATTTTTATGCCTCCAATCTTAATGTGAGTTGTTTAACAAACTTTGCTAAGGAATTGAGATTTCTCTTAAAGGATTAGTATTAAAATAAATTTTTTTGCTATTGGATTAACTTAATAATTATTAAAATAGATAATAATTGGGAAAGATACATGTATAGAAGGTCAATGAAATCATTCACTAACATCTTTTATTCATTAATTTTCAATTCTTATTTTTAATTTATTCTTATTTTTTAAACCCTAAAACTTGTGTTCATTACCCTTTTTGTGTTCTTTAAACTAATCTTTTATAATTTTTCCCCAAAATAATATTAAATTTGATTAATCAATCATAGAGTAAGTCCCTATGGATATTCGATGCTTGAACTTCTGTCCATTTTACTACTTGCAACAATTGGTACGCTTGCCAAAAGTCTAATAGGATGAATACTTGCTAGGCAAAAAAAAAGGTTTTCACCCACATAATTCAACTTCTCTCTTCAATTTCCAACCATTAATTCATACCAAGTCGTCATGCAATCTTCAAATTAACATTTATACTTCATAAACAATTCAAATTCATCAAAATAAATAATATACAACAATAATAGGATCTAGAATCGTCCATTTCTCTTCCAAACACCCAAAACAATCAAAAACCTAAACATCAAGTTTTTTCACTTCTCAATCCATCACCAAAGCCACCAATGGGATGATCAATGTAGTAAACAATACATGCAACACAACAAGGATTAATCTATAAGCTTCCCTTATCTTGAATATGCAAGAAACAAGGGGGGAAAAAAGAAGAAGAAAACTCTAAGAACTCTGAGCTTTTGTACGATGACTTCTCCCTCAAATTCTCAACTCAACAACTTTTGAATCTTTCAACAATCAACACAATTCTACTACAAGGAAAGGATTGGAAGGCTCCTATGAAGTAAACTTCTTTGCCTCCATAAACTATCTCTCTAAAACCTTTCTTTAGGAATTCGGAGAAATAAACTTATAAAAATCAAGCTATAAATTTTTTTTATATACCTTCTCTAAACTTGATCAACTTTAACCTAACACAAAATAACTTCAAATAACTAAACTCTTAAAAATTCATTAACCTTAAAATTCTACTACATCAAAACAACATTATAAATCAATTAAATATTTAAATTTAAAATAAACAATACGCTTTCAATTGTGTTATAAATTGATACTTAATTATTAATTATATTATTATATTCAATTATATTAGATGTCAAATTTTAGAATACAAATGATATGACATGCAAATTGGAAAAAAAATCTAATTAGAGATTCTTTTTATTTAATAATAAGAGGTAATAATACTTAAATGTTATATTTTTACGATAAATATCCTTAATAAAACAATACCAAAAAATATATATCTAACCAATGAAAAACCTTTTAAAAACATGTTGGAGGAAAAGGGTAATAATACATTATACGTCTCGTCCTTTGGTTTCGCTTTTTCCTCCAGTCAATGACTAACGCGAACAAAACAAAGCCGATCTCTCTTTTATTGGGAAAAAACCAAAAGGGAAAAGCATTTTTGTCATTTAAAAAATTCTAAATGACAAAAGGCTTTAGTTGTGTGAGCGTGAAGGGCCAGCCTTATATATATATATATAATCACACTCATCCACTAATAACATCTATCTTTCTATGCATTAACAAATAGTCACTCTCTTGTGTTCTCTCATTCTCTCGTTCTCAACCTCTACTTTTGGTTTGAGAAAATATCACATCACACACAAATGGAAGAGACCAAATCCAAGTTCAAGAGGATTTGTGTGTACTGTGGAAGCAGTTCCGGTAACAAAGCAAGTTACCAAGAAGCTGCGGTAGAACTAGGCAAGGAGCTGGTAAATTTATTTCCACACTTTTAGTTAAACTTGTGCTTCTCTAGCGTTGAATAACAATATCACTTTCATCAGACCCTAGTTAATCTTCCTTATACGGGGTCCTCTTCAGATGAAAAAGACACGCATTTGTTTTTAGCAAATTCTGCATTCCTTCTTTTCATTATGTTCAGTGTTGGACCCAGTAAAAAGAAAAAAACTGTTTAAGCTAAAAGCACAATCTGATTCCACATGATTCTGAATACCCTTGCATTATTTATTTATTTATTGTCCTATTAGCTATTACTTTCACTAAATTATGTTCAATGAACTTGCTTCATTTAAGGGTCTTTGAAGTTGTTTTTTTCTTCAAAGTCTGCGGATGTTTCTCCATCTTGTAACTTTTTTTCTTTTTCTTTTTTCATTTCAATCATTTTTCCCCCTTTCTGAAGTGTGTGTTAGTTTTTTTTTTTTTTCTTTAAATTTTTCTGATAATCAATAATATCTCAAGTCTCAAAGCTAGCTAGGTTATGATCGTTGAGGAACGAGAATGGTTTAGGTTAAGAGTTTGTCATGAAAGAGAGAGATTGCAAGCTGGAACCTGCTGTCAGTTGTGCAGCCTTCTTGCATGATCTATGTTTTGCTTGTAACATGTTCTTTTTTATTTTCCTTATAATTCTTTTTTCAATAATTTTCCAACTGAAAATAAACAAAAGAAGGAAATGTTCTATGCGCGTTTCTAGGAGAACGAACGTGCAATATTGGTAATATGGTATCATTACACTATGAAGCGTGCTCTTAGCCTTTGGCATTTCCCACAAGCTTCACCTCCCATGATTTTTCCCAGTGGTCGAGGGGTTATTTATTTGCACCCTAAAATGATTTTTCCCTGTGACCAAACTTTACCATTAACCCCTAAAACTAATACTATAATAAAGTTACTATTCTATTTTATATCTTAGCTTTTGTGTCCAATTAGTTGGTTTGTTTTGTTTCTCCCATGATGATTAGTGCATTGACACGTGTCTAACTGGTTTGGTTTTCAATGTGTGTTTGAAGGTCGAGAGAAGGATTGATTTGGTCTATGGAGGTGGTAGCGTGGGGTTGATGGGTCTAGTTTCTCAGGCAGTTCATGATGGTGGGCGCCATGTTTTGGGGTTTGTTCTCTTTCTCTCTCTCTCTCTCTCAATCTCATTCTCTATGTCTTTGTTTATTATATTACATAAAAGTCGGTAATACAAGTGATTTAATTTGGTGATGTGTTTCTTAACTTAGCACAAGAGTTTTATTCTTAGCTCGAGTAAACATAGACTACTTTATTTCTATAGATGTCAACTTGGACAGGATTATATTTTTTTATTAAAAAAATGGAAGTGTGTTTTTTGATAGACCAGCTTAATCATTTTGCTGATTGCTACAACAAAGTAGGTTATAATGTTATATCCTTGTGTTTTGCCTACTGACCCATGCGTGTTTCCCTGTTTCCTATGAAATGAGTTCTTCTAAGGGACATCATTGGATCAAAAACCGGCAACGTGGGACATTATTTTTTGCCCCTTTGATTAATTCTTCCCAATGTAGGATAATAGGGAGCATTTTGGACATAAAATATAGGTTCACCCTGTGTAGTGGTTAATTGATCTAGCTTTATTATGTTACATTGGGGTGTTTAAAAAGGTGGAAAAGATGTTAACCTTTACCTATGGTTAGAAGCCTTTTGAGCAGCTTTGCTCTGTTGGATAAAAGTTGAATGCCTTTTGGCCCTTTTACAGAAAGAAAAGGTAGAAAGTTTTTGCTCTGGAATTGTTGCCAACATTGGCTTTTATTTTACTTGTCATGCACTTTGAAGACATGCTTAAAGTTCATTTATCATTAAGGAGAATTCGAATTGGTCTTTGGTTTCTTTTGTTATTAATTTATTGTAATAATCATTGTTTTTAGTTTAAAGTATTTGCTCTTCAAACTTTTGACTGATGATGTGCTTCATTGACTTTCTTTGCAGCGTTATCCCAAAGAGCCTCATGCCAAGAGAGGTAAATCACTCTTGTCTCTTTCTTCTGTGCTACCTTTTATGGAGTAATAATTAATAATTCTGTTATACTATAAAGAGAAAAAAATTGTATATCTTATTTTAAAGTGTTATTAACAAATAAGTTCATTAACATAATTTTATAATTTCTGATTGGTTGATAGTGGAAAACCTTTCGTATTAACTTCTTTTGCATATGCTAAGGTCAATGATTCATTAGGTGTTTATATTTTAATGTGTAAGTTGGAAATGCAGATAACTGGTGAACCTATTGGAGAAGTGAGAGCAGTATCTGATATGCATCAAAGGAAAGCTGAGATGGCTCGTCAAGCTGATGCATTCATTGCCCTTCCTGGTACGGATTTTAACTAATAACTATATTGACGCAAACACAAAACCGAAAGTGAGGACATGGTCATGTGAAGTGGGATTTGTTGGCCTATTGAGTAGTAACATTATTAGCACATGGTGCTGTTACTCATGTCTTGTTGTTTTCAAACATTAGGGGGATATGGTACACTCGAAGAATTGCTTGAAATCATAACATGGGCTCAGCTTGGGATTCACAGCAAACCGGTAAGAACTATTCATCCTCTTTTTTATTATGTGATTAGACAAATTATATGACGTAGTTCTTCTTTGTTGTTCTATACAACTAGTGACGTTAGTTAGGAACATTTTTGACCAGATCTTTTGTTGGAAGCTATTTTCTTGTTATTATGGAAAAAGTGTTCGTGAAGGTTATGTTTAACAAGGTTCTTAAATTAGTAAGATATGGGATAAAGGGTATTTTATAATAAGGTATAAGCTCTAATATTAAAAAATATTATAGTCTAGTGAGATAAACTTGTACACTAAGCATTCAAGTAAATTATAAATTAGTTGAAGTATTTTACCAAACACTAATAAGTAACCTAGAAACGCCCGAAAGGTGGGAATGTAATAAATATAGTATTCTAATACAAACTATACCTTTTAAAATTAATCAAGCAAGCTTCACTTGCCTCTTATGATCTCTCTGGAATCGAATTTCTGCTATATAGTTATAAAATATGAAGAAGTCAAATCTCATAATATGCCTCAATTATTTTAGAACTTGCCTTAAGCAACTTTGCCTCCTAATGACGCATCATATTACGTATCCATTCATTAACTCCATATTTTAATGTCGTAATTCTACGTACCAACAATTATTTTGTAACTTGGATAATTATAAACGAGCTTTTGTTTAGTTAATTAAGCCCGCTTAAGTGTGTACTACCCTAGTGAATATTATTTGTTTTTTATACGGTTGGGACGACCCAAGGAAGCTTCGCAAAGGAACCAACACATGTGGGGTATTTAATTCACACATTCACATGAGAAGATATCTGAGATTGTGTTAAGTTAATCGTTGTCACGTTACATTATTTGATGGTTCTCCGTTTGAATGGGAGAAAGATATGGCGTTATGAATAAACATAGAAAATGATTGAGGGAAACGACACATCAAATTAAAGTTAATAATGGTCAAAGGAACTATGTAGCTATTGTTATTATTATAATAACACAGTGTTTGGTTGTCCCAATTTTTTGTGGTGCAGGTGGGGCTCTTGAATGTGGATGGATTTTACAATTCCTTGTTGTCTTTCATTGACAAGGCCGTTGATGAAGGCTTTATTTCCCCAAAAGCACGTCGCATTATCGTGTCAGCACCCACAGCCAAAGAATTGGTGAGAGAGCTAGAGGTGCGTGAAGTGAACATTTTTTTAAAAAAAAAAATTTTCTTCATCACTTTTATATGAAAGTGAACAACGTTTTGTGGTTCATATATAATTCAGAAAGATAACATGATTAAATCATTTGTTTAATGGTTGATATATACATCATAATAATTGCTTACTCAAGTTGCTAAATCAAGTGGGGCATAATAATGTGTTGTGTCCTTAATGATATAATGTTATGTGAAGCAGGAACATGTACCTGAGAGAGATGAAGTTGTATCCAAGTTGGTGTGGGAAGACAGAATAAGTTACGTGCCTGAATCAGAAGTTGCCATGTGACTGATCTATATATGCGCTTAGTGGGTGATTTGATGAAACACCATAGTTTTGGGCATTTTGTTATGTTTTAAATGTATTTTGGGTACATAATAGTCAATATATATGGGCTAGGAACCTTAGGATCATACAGCATCCCTTTTTTTGTTTTTTTCCCAACTTATGTTCATGCCCCTATTATACAGAAAATTAACGAGGCTAGTTCAAAAAATATGGAAAATCATCAATGGAAGAATTATGTTATGTTACCGACCAAGAGCATTGCCTTTTATCCCTTTTCCTCTCTTCTCTTTTTGGACTATACTTTTACATTAAAAATAAATAAATAAATCAAATGCTATACTATAATTCTTTAGAGTCATCTTGCTCTAAATAATGAGATAACTCAATTATTATCACTTCTGAATTCAGGTTTATGGTTTCTTTAATGTTTGATATAATCCACTCTTAATCATCATTGTGTGTATATTGCACAGCTGTTTACGAGCTATCTAGCGATATTCTTGGGTGGAAGATGCTGTTGGCACAATAATATTAGGCCAAAATTGTTAATAATTAGAAAGGAAAATGTTTTTCTTAGCATATTAATAGTTAGATAACAGAGTATATTAGATGTCTCATTGCACAAAGGATTGTCACGTGTGTCAAAATGGCCACATGATTATAGTCCCCTAGTTGCGGCACCAATTGGCATAGCCCATTTTCTACTCACTGATCATTGGTAATCACTTAGAGCTATCTTTGATTTAGATTTAGTTAAGATGCTTCCAACATCAAAAGGAAGATTGGATTTTTCTTTTAAGAATTTTAAATGTCTTGGAATAAAATAGGATAAAATATTTTGTTTAAATAAAGAATTTAAAATATAAATTTTTGTGAAATTTCTTAAAATAGTAAAATTTCAAGTTATTTTTAAAAAAAATAAGAATGTAATTTTTTTATATTTTTTTATTTCTTTTCTCATCTATATAAAAAATATTAATACTTTTTTATCATTAAATATTTAAAGTATTTCTTAAATTATTAAATATCATTTAATATTAATTTTAAAATTATTAAATATTTAAAAATTAGTTAATATTTATTTTATAAAATTTAATCTTAAAGATATCTTTTATATATATATATATATAAAATCAATTTTATCATAAAGAAAATTAAATTATCATATCAAAACTAAAAAATTTAAATTGACTCCAAACAAAATATTTAAAAAATAATAAAATTAAAATTAATGTAATTCAAATTTTTAAAATTTTAAATTCTTTGAAATTTTAAAATTTTCTCATCTAATGTGATTTTTAATCTCTTTCAATTGTAAAGAGATTACAAACTCCCCTACCAAAACCAATTGTCATAAAACTCAATTTGAGAGTGAAAGAGATTGTTTTGTAAACAATGTTTACAGGAGAATAAATACATTAGTTTCCGAAATTGGAAGACATCATCCTATCGGAACCTTAAAATAAGAAATCGATAAATAAGTTATTAAAATATATAAATAAGTCTTTGAATTTAATTATTTAATATCTTTTTTGTTTTTAAATATATTAATATTATTACTTTATTCACACATTTTTCAAGTTTTATATTAATATAATTATCAAGTTATACTTAATTTTAGAGACTTACTAACATATTTCTTAATTTCAGGAATTAATATGATCATGATGAGTTATTCCAAATTCAAAAGATTAAAGTTTGTTTATGTATATTCAAACTTTAGCTCGTAAAAAGATGTTGAACTAGGATATTTTTAACACAAAATTAAAGACTAATTTCTTGGAATAATAAGATCTATTTAAGTAGTTAACTTCTTTTAATAAATTAAATTCTTAATTAAATGTTTATATAATATTTACGATCTAAACAAAATTTTCATTGTCGAGTTTAAAATAAAAGGAAGAACATGAATTTATAAACACACAAAGTATTTCTAGTATGAAATTTTTTGAATGATGATGAAAAGTAAATCTATAAAAGTCTAAATCCAAAGTAGATAATATCATATCCATATGAAAATGTTTAGAATACTTAGTACACAACAAAATATCATATTCCTCTTGAAAAATATATTTCTATAAAACAATTTATCCCTAGTATAAGAATCAAAGGTTCAATTAGAATTACAAAACAAATTTTCATTAATATTTTTTGAGTAATGATTAAACATAAATTTACAAGAATTTAAACTTAAAATAGATAATATCATATTAATATAGAGAAATGTGTAATAAATACCTAATATACAAGCATATTCCTTTTGAAAAATATATATATTTACAAAACAACTCTCAATAATAACCTTTCAATCATTTAACATTTTTGTTCTCTATTAAAAGTTGGTGCGACATGTCAGTATGTCACGACATGGATAATTAAACATGAGAATGTTCACTGAATTAGTATGGAGGTGGGGTTTTGCAGCGTTGTTCCAAAAAGAAGGAATGGAAATAGTTATGTCTAGATTAGGTGAAATTGTTGTGTAGAAACTATATTTCACTTTGTGAACTCAAGAGTTCTTAAAGACAGCAGTCACACATGTAAAGGAAATCTAAAGTCTAAACATTAATTAGGTCTAGAGAGTAAAAATCGATTATGTCTACAATGAATTCATCATTCTGGGTTAATTCATTACACATTTTGAAAGAAAGGTTGAACTAAACACGCTTGTAACAAGTAACAACAATAATAACCTTGTCGGCCAATGCCACATCACTAGCAGCATTATTTTAATTCATGTTATCACTTCTTTACCTCAATTAATTTTTCATTGTAAAGTTGGTTGAAGCCTTTATTTGTTGGGAACATTTTTCTAGCGTCTCACTCGTCCAATTACATGATGTGAGAAATGTCCCACCATATATAAAATATAGAATAAGAAAATTGTGATGTAACAAAATACATGTGAGGCACATGATCTGTAGTAAATTAGCACTTGCCCACCAAACAAATTTGATTTAATCAATTAGATGAGATCAAATCTAATCCAATCTTATTGGAAAATTCCTAGTCACCGACCATTAGAAAATTAACTGAACGAGTCTGAACTAATTTTCATTGATCTAATTAAAGTCCTGGTTCAACAAGAAACTATAGAATTCCCAACTACTAGCAGTAGGTCTGCATCAGGTTTGGCTGTTAGCTAAATTTATAACTGATTCAAAATATTCTGCTGCACTGGCTATCAAAAATATAATCAGATAGAGAATTAATTAAGAAAAGGCTTAAGGGAAATTAATTAATATTTATTCTTATCCCTACCTTTTGAATGTCATCCTACAAATTTGGAATGAGAACGACCTGAGTTATTTTATCTTTATGACGTTTGGCTATCAACAATCATTTATAATTGAAAGTAATTAAATTCAATAAAATAAAGGATTTTGGTAATGGGTAGTTAAGGATATTGATTAAAGAATTACTAATGAATAAAAAATTATTAAAAAATTTACAGTGAAGGTACAATAATAATACTTTCAAATAAAAACTTTCTATTTTTAATTCTTTAACCAATATCCTAACATTTGTTAAAACTCTCCTACAAAGGGCATGGAAGTTATTTTCTCTGTTTTATGTGATATTCAACTGGCGATGGTAATGATCCTAGAATCAATGTTTATGAAAAGTTTAGGGAAAAGGGTTGATCTCATACCTTTTTTCTATTAGAAAAAGTGTTCATATTTAGAAACTAAATAGGTCCCGAACAGAATTTTCTCTGATAAATTATAGTTTATGAGAAAACCAGGATTTATATCAACCAATATGCAACTTTAAGAAAAAAAACTCATTAAATCAACCAACATAAGAGCATACTCATTGCAGTTTTATAATAACACTTGTTATTGCTACCATAAAATAAAAAAGGCTATAACTTATATCTCACGATTTATATACCTAACAACCTTATTTTTAGTTTGTGAAAATTCCGAACTGGATTTCATGGAATAATCAGCAGATTGCAATGCTATAAACCAAATGATGGCGTAACGGTAGTTTAACTCATAATATCACATGAACTAGGATTTTGTCCCATGTTAGAAATTTGTTTGGAGCAAGTGGTTCGATACCATGTTTGGTGACTTTGACCAATGACAAAGGCAGTGCCTAAAATTGTGTTATATCCAATAAAAGATCACACGGATACACAGATATTCCCTTTTGCGATTTATTTATTTTAATTTAGTCTCATTCTCTTAAGTGCACTAAACAATCCTTTTATTTATATAGGGAATTTGGTAGCTGAATTAAGACCAAATAAAGCCAAAACCAGAGTGGCATGCCGTGTAGAGTACGTCATTTTTTTTTCTTCTAGACTATAATGTTTCTCGTCTCTTATATCAACATTAAATTTCTAAAATCTCCTGAAAAAACGGAAATTGAACCACTTATATAAGTTGTGATGCTTTTTATTAGTTTTTAATACACAGCACATATTAGTTGTTGAATATGGCACAGTTTAGCGTTGTAACTAACAAAATTTGGTGTGTGTGTGTGTGTTTTTTTTCCTTTTTCTAACAAACAAGAACAAGGCTCCTAGATTGGAATCTGTGTTTCAGATAATTGCTAACTCTGGCTAGTACGTGGAATGCTCGACCCTTGAGTCTAATCTTCTCGAAAGGTCTATCCAACTCACCAGTTCAAACTTTCATCAATAAATTCGAAGTGTATATAATGTTGTGTTGTTTTAGGACATTACTTTGACATTGAGAATTTTCAAGTTTTTATAAATTAACTTGTGATTAAAAATTGACTTAAATATGTTTTTAGTTCCTTAAATTTAAGATAAATTTATTTTTGATCTCTTAAATTTAAAATAATTCTTTTTAGTCTTTATAATTTTTAAAAATTTTGTTTTAATCCCTTAAGTCACCAATAATATATCTGAAAGTGATAAATTAATACAGTTATGCAATATCAACTGGATTTAATATGATGTTTTTACTAGCAGAGATATCAATAGGTAGAATTTATACAATAATATTTAATAAATTTTTTAACAAAATTTGAATATAAAGATTAAAATAAAATTTAGAATTAAAAATAATAATTTTAAATTAATATATATATATATATATATATATATATATATTTACTTTAAATTTGAGAGACTAAGAATATATTTGAGCCTAGGCTAGGAAGTGGTTTGGGCTAGTATGAGAATTGGGCTTATGCGCCCAACATTGAGCCTCGTGGACTATTGAGTTTTGTTCGTTCTCACTTCTCTTTTCGCTAACTTTATACACTTTTTTTTTTTCTTTTTTAACATAAATATCCTTAATGGAAACATGTTTATGTTCTGATCATTACAGAACAGAATTTGTTTCCGTTGTGTTGTAAAGGGATGCAGGGTATGCGTATTCATTATACACAACGGAAACAAGTGTATAAATTCATAATATACAATGAATTCATATTACACAATAAAAATAAAAAATAAAAAATAAAAAAAGTTTTCATTGTATATAGTAAATTTCAAACGACACTTTCATCAATTATCAATATCAACACCTGTGTCAGCCTATATATATACCAGTAAAGTGCTGAGTTATTTATATATCATTAATTTGTTTAGTTAATTTTGATGCTTAAATTTTATGCTTTAACCAAGTTAAATTAAGTTAACATAATTGTACGAATAAGTCTGACATAATATGAAACAACACAAAACAGGTGAAGACGACACATTACAAAATAAGTCTAATATAACATGGAATAAAAAAAAATAGTAAAACAATTTCATAGATACAAAATAAAATCCATAACATCACTTGGGGATCATCCTCCTCCACCTCTGATATGCATACCCGATTGAAGTGTGTGACTATGTTAATGTCAATATACACTGTATATGTATAAAGGTTTGATTGTTAATACATAAAAGATGGGAATATGAAAAAATAGGGAATTGTATGTATACTTAGTATATTTATTTTTTACTTCTATATTTATGTTAAATTATTACAGAATAGACAGTTAAAATGATTTGTAAGTAAAGTTAGACTTTTATATAAGTCATGTTAAAGCGTTTAAAAAAATACTTATGATACGTAAACACACTAGATTCAAGCCATGTATATGCAATCAAGATTAGGTCTATATTTAGAAAATTTTAATCTGATTTAACTTATTTTCATCCTTAATTAAAATGAGAAATCATTAAATAGGTTATAAAGTGACAATGCTTAAAATACAACCTCCAATCCTATAGGTAATGGACATGTTTGTTTCAGAATTTTTTTTTACTTTTTAATAAACAATTTCTATCTACTTCTTAAAAATATTTTTTTAAAAATTTATTTATTTTTTGTTTTGAATAAATGAACCCAATATGATAACAATAGTTTAGTTATAAAGATATATATTTAAGACTAATATTAAATTCAAACGTGTATTTTTCCCATTATAAATTTAATATCCACAATTTTATGGAAAAAATAATTTTACATAAATTAATAAAATTAATTAAACATAACTTTTCCAAGTAATTGAATTATCAATATTTTAAATCAGCCTAATTGATAAATATTTTGCTATTTTTTAATTTTATAATATTATAAAATTAAATTATTAATTATTTTGATGTTTACATATAATATATATATATATATATATATATCATTTTTCATAAACAATTTAGATTTTTTCATGTCAATTATATTTTGCTATTTCAAGAGTGAAGAATAAATATTGTCTACTCATTATGGATTGTCATAAAGAAAACCAAATTTACAATTTTTTTAAATTATTGTGTATTGAATCCCTTTAATATTCATATGATTAAAAATAAAATTAAAATTACAATAGATAACGCGCATACCACTGGTAGAAAATTAAAATGATTACAATTCCAATACAAGATAAATGAACCTGTACACCAACCGTGCTTCAAGCTAAAAATGTTGTGTGCTTCCACTTATCAGATCAAGCTTTTGAAACAAATGGACATAAAGGGGGCAACAAATGGACATAAAGGGGGCAACAAAATTTCCTTTTTAGCTAACCGTACACCAACCGTGCTTCAAGCTAAAAATGTTGTGTGCTTCCACTTATCAGATCAAGCTTTTGAAACAAATGGACATAAAGGGGGCAACAAAATTTCCTTTTTAGCTAACCGTACACCAACCGTGCTTCAAGCTAAAAATGTTGTGTGCTTCAATCCCTTGAAAAAATTTTCTGTTCGCTTGTAGAAAATTTAAGAATAGTTTTTTTATTTAAACTCCTTATTTCTTTTAGCTTCTCAATTTCCTTTTATCAGCAACGTGGTAGTTTCCAATTATATCACATTTTGCACAGAAATAATAACTTGCTGGAACTCAAGTGTTGGCAAAAGATATGTTCATATATGAACACGAAATAGAGAGATCATAATCAACAGAAATTGCAAAATAATACATAGTACACTTCAAAATCCATTACACCAGCATGAATTTATTAGTATTACCATACCTGCGGCTCAAAAATTTAAGGAATTACAAAACATTGACCCACTGATTGATACAGATGCAGATGACCACTCTCTCAACTATTATCCTAGCTACACCGCTGCGAAGTAGTCTTTGCTGAGTTTAGGGTCTGGTTTCATGGACTTCTCCCCAGGCTTCCACCCAGCAGGGCAAACCTCATCTGGGTTCTCCTGCACATACTGTAAGGCCTGCAACACAAATGGACATAAAGGGGGCAACAAAATTATGTACATTATAGAAAGGTAAAACAGAAAAAATGTGATATTTTTTTGTTGTAGATCGCACATCGACGATTGAAATGACCATAATAGAGCACATAAGTAAGAAACAATCCTCATTTTACAAGTCATTTTGTGGAATTGAATAAGGTCTCAACTCACTTTCTAAGATTCTGAAAAAAAATTATGCTGTCATAACACCCCAAATTAAGTTCATAATTTACCTGGAGAGTTCTCTTTGTCTCATCAACACTTCTACCAATTGCCAAGTTGTTAATGGTAGAATGCTGAATGACTCCTTCCTTGTCAATGATGAACAATCCTCTCAATGCAATGCCCTATATCATTGGAAGCATTCAGAGTCATTAGGACACAAGTCTGATAAAGTGGAATGAAAGGCAAGTTTCCAATGTCAACACTTGGTGCTACCTACTAACACCTAAAGCTATTTCCTACATTGCATTCCAGAAAACATAGAAACATAAGCATATAAGTTGATGATTGGGAAAGGAAAAGTTCACGGCAATGGTTCAAGTCCTTAGCAAAACCAAATTAAAACTTGATTTGATTAGAGAGCAGGTCTGATAAGTGATAATTCGCAAATTATGCAAATGGGGGAGACTATGCCTCATATGAAACATGATATACCCCTTCCTAGGCAGGTTTTGAGAGAGAAAAGACAACAAACAAATTAGATTATATTTCTTTTAATTTATCCATCCATAAGTAACATTTTTTCAAACAAATGTCATGTCAGAACATACCTGATCAGGAATGAGAACACCATAAGATTTTGAAATGGATTTGGTGACATCAGAAATCAAAGGATACTTCAAGTCACCAAGGCCACCTGACTTTCTATCTGTTTGGATCCATGCAAGGTGCGAGAACTACAATAATAACAACAGCATCACAAATCAAGAAGAAATAAACATTGGAAGTTCAATTAGATAGGGTATGACACAGACATCAGAACATAAAGAACCGACTAAGCCCAACACCTTTTTTTTTTTCTAGGGCACACATCTACATGTTAGAGTACTGTTGCTGTCTATGCAAAGGTCATGTGCATTACTTTATAAATATCATATAATCTTATTACATCTGTTGATCAACAAAAACATGTTTCAATTATCTAAGCTCAAGTGAAGCTTCCACTCAGATATTCCCCTCTTCCTTTAGTTATGAAGTAATTCCTCAGACCAAACTTTCGCTCCATGAAGCATGTCTTCAGCGACAAATGCAAATACAGTAAGCTTGAAGCTTTTAACTTATTAGATTAATCATGCTAATAACTAGCTTAGTAAATCCTTAAAATGCACAAAGATTGTAAGCAGACATAATCCTTTTCATAATACAACAGGCAGAAGAATGTCATATAAAGCAGAATATGAGATTTTCCCCATCAACTGAGCCAGCTATAGTAACTAAAAAAAGCGTCTAAACTAACTCACCACACTGTCAACTGAAACACCCAATATCTCAGTATTCAGTGCCTCGAACTCTGCATGCCGGTCACTAAAGGCAGTGATTTCTGTGGACAAGTAACAGATGTCATTGTTAGGGAGTTAGGGGTAGACAAGGCTTAGTAATGTAATGTTTTTCCCCAGAGAAATATCAGTCCCTTTTTGTTCGAAAACTATCTTACACAACTAACAAAAATGAACTATTAGGGTCATTTGGTTTGATAAAAAGCCTCTGCTATCTCCTGTTTTTAAAAGTTTATACAAAAATAGTGAAAATAGAGAATTTGAAAACATAAAACAAAATGAAAACAAGATAACAATTTTGTAATTAAAAGTGAAAAAAAAAAAAAAAATTAGTCAAACCAAACAGACCCTTATTTTTCTAAAATAAGTTAAACCAGACAAACAAAACAGACATATATCTCAACCTGATTATTATACCCTGGTAAAAAAAGTCCACTAACCTGTGGGACAAACAAAGGTGAAATCCAACGGGTAGAAGAAGAGCACAACATACTTCTTCCCAATGTAATCAGAGAGTTTCACCTGGAATCACAATGCTTAAGCCAACAAGCACAAAAACTTTGCAAAAACCATAATTAAAAATAAAACGTGTTTTAGTTCCTCAATTTCAGGCAAAATTGGTCCTAGTCCTTTTAACTGGTATTTTTATTTTATAATGGGTGAATTTCATCCCTCTTACTAGATTGAGTAACAAAATTCACTCACCAATTCTCTTTCTTAGCGCTTACACAGTTAAAGTAGAGGAATCAAGACCAAGACAAAGACCAATTCTGACCCAAAATTAAGAAGAAACCTAAAACCCATTTTAGCTTAAAATGAAACAACAAGACAATGAAAAGCAAACAATTTTACATTGATAAACTCCTGATCAAACACAGCCTCGGCTTCAAAATCCGGTGCAGTATTTCCAACAAGCGGAAGCTCACTCTGTTCATTAAAAAAAAAAAAAAAAAAATTAGCAACAACAAAAAAACATTATGGGCGAAAGAAAAGGGCGAGTAAGGTGAGAAGGTTAGTTACGGAGGAGGCTTTGACGAGGAAGGAGCGGCGAGTGTGGGAGGGGCGCGTGAGGGAGAGCGAAGGGCGCGTGGGGAGAGAGAGGGGGTTGAGGCGGAGGGAATTGGGGAGGGAGAGAGAGGCGTTGGGAGAGAAGAGAGGCTTAGGGTTTAAGGAGGAGAAGAGGGTTGCAGAGGTGGCTGAGCATGCCATTGTGATTGTGATGAGATTGAGGGTTTCACTCCAAAGAGAGGTTCAAATGGGATTGGGTTTTGAGATTGGGTGGTGAGAGTGAGATAGATAAAGTGGGTTACACTCAGAATAGAGAGTAGAGAGAGAAATCGGGTTGCTTCACTCTTCACTCTTCACTACATGCCATTGCCACCATTACTTCTTTCCACATTTTTCAACCTTCCTATTTATTTTAACAATTAATTCCACTTTTCCTTTTTTTCTTTTTAAATTAATCCTTACCAATTTTATATTATTTATTTATATATAATTATTAAATTTAAGGATGAAAATATCTAATCAAAAAATGGAGACTTAAGAAATTAGTTACTAAATTGTGCACATTATGGATAAAAATTGTGCACATTACTAAATAGTTACTCTTATATTCGTGTCTATATTTTATATTTTGTGTCACATGGATATTTTTTTTATTATATATTAGATGTTAGGTGAATGAATAAATTAAAAGTATGAAGGATAAATATATTTACTATTTATTTTGTGTCACATGGATATTTTTTATTATATATTAGATGTTAGGTGAATGAATAAATCAAACGACGCACCTCTGGTGTACCAGTTATCGTGCCCACGGTAAACGCTGGGTAGCCAAGTGCGGAGCGGATAACTGCTGAAAGCATCTAAGTAGTAAACCCACCCCAAGATGAGCGCTCTCCTATTCCGACTTCCCCAGAGCAATCCTCTGAGCTACAG